CTTCGCACCCGCAAGAGATCTAAGTACAGCCATCCTTGAATTCCACTGACTCTTATCTACCACCAATTTGCCTTGACTGTTAGTAGTTCAGACTCTTGTAGCGAGCTAGTGTGGATTAAATTTGTACTCACCTGAACGGCTTTGGCTCCTGATTTCTTGCACCTGATATTGGCCTATTAATGCAAAATGTTAATCCATTCATTCTTCTCTCTCCTTCAATATCTATATTAATTTAATGCATTACATATCACATATAAACAATAGAGCTCTGCTCTATTTTGTTACATCTCTGTAGGTACAGCATCTAACCAACCATATCTGGACTCTGAAGTTAAGCAGGGTTGGGCCTGGTTGGTATTTGGATGAGACACCTCTTAGAAATGCTTGGGCTAGATTGGGAAATCCAAAAGACATCGCAGGAAAAGTGAAGGACAAACTTATTCTGTAATTCTGCCAGCAAAAACAACATGGATATGAATATGAAGTCACCAGGAATTGTTTGACTTGAAGGAGATTTTACTTCCTTTTATTTATTTATTTTTGTTTCATGAAGCAACACATGGTACATTTCTGGTATAAATCTGGTCTTAAAATGGTCACGTAGTTCTCATTTCCCTGTTCTATTTCCTCCAGTAAATTCAATAACTGGAAGAGACTTTGTATACATATTCCCAATTCCTCTCACAGGTCTTTAGTTATTTTCCAATCCAGAAGGGATCCTGAAACAGAGCTACCTGCCCATATATACCTGATTAGCTTCCCTTAAAGTAATAATCACATAGTGCAGTTTCTCTTTTTAAAATCTAATACTGTAGCACAGGGGTGTCAAACTCAATTTCATTGAGGGCCGCATCAACATTGCGGTTGCCCTCGGGGGGCTGGGTGGGTGTGGCCAGGATGGGTGCAGCCTACTGGGTGGGTGTGGATGGAGTGGGTGTGGCCTACTGGGTGGGCATGGCCAGCTCTACATCATTCGTGTCAAGGGAGCCTGTGGGGGCCTGGGCAGGAGTGGGACAGATCTGAGGGTCTCTGGCAGAAGGGGGTGGGACCAGGGCAAGCGCCAAGGCATGGTCCATTTCTTCATTCCTCACAAAGGGTGACACCTCCCCAACATGCACCCAGGGGCCGCGCCAACACGGCAGGGGCTGGTTCCTCGCTGTTTCTAGACGGCCTTGTGGAACTATGACTGAATGTGTTTCAGCATAGATGGCCACCACAAAATTGTACATTGGCTCCCGGCCGGCCTGGGTCAGGGCCAAGGCAGTGGGGGCCATTCCCTCACTGTTTCCAGGATGGCTTCGCGGGCCACATGAAACCACTTCGTGGGCCGCATCCGGCCCCTGGGCCTTGTGTTTGACATGTCTGCTGTAGCAGCTTCCCGGCTTTATAATCTTGCTAAATCCAACACCCTAACAACTCTAAGCTTAGGCAAAAGTCTGCATCAGAAACATTTCTCTTCCATCCTGTGCAGACACATATACAAGGTTTCCACATCACACTAAGAATATGATTTAATTTATTCTGGAAACCTAGTCATTGTGGTTTCTAAATCATGTTTGATGGCTTTAGTCCAAAGTGTGCGTCTAGCTATTGTGGTTAAGTCAATGAACCACAGGGAGAATTATCAATGGCTTCATATTATGTGTAATGCGAACTGTTTTTTTCCTTCCAGTCTCAATGAATCAGCTATAGTTTGACATTTAACCTATGTCCAGAATTTGATCTTCACACTTCACACAGGAGCCATGAATAAAATATTGAAAAGTCTCTGCCATAGAAACATAGGCAGTAAATTGAATTCTAAAGAGGGAAACAATCCAGTTGCTGACATTTCTACAACCTCTCCTCTTTCAATAAATTTTGGTAAAGAAACTCTAGGAAAAAAAAATCTTGTTTTTATGGCGGAGTGGGACAACAAAGAATTTGACAAGTAGTTTGAACTGGGCTCTGGCTTAAATAGGCAGCCTGTTAACAGCCTTGTGATGTAACACAACGTGATAATACCCCAGAAGATCCAGAGCAGATTGAATGGCACTATTTCAGACTAGGATCAAAAGACAGAAAGGAAAATCAAGAACACCTGTCTGGAGACTATTGCAGTAGATTACAGTAATCTGATTTAGATTGCAGTATTATATGTAAAAGGTGATGCAGTCAAGGCATGACCAAATAAAGGACACATATTCCTCACTCAAAACTCTTTGGATCCTATGAATTACTCATCAAATGAAAATTAATGATCAATAAATAGGTGCAAAGTGAATTGATTACCAATCCAGCCCTGAGATTATGGGCAGATAAAACTGGGGGGGGGGGGGGAATCTGGAAATCTTAGAGACAAAGAATATGAAGGACAGTCAAGCTAAAAGAGAACATTATCTACCTTATCCATCTTCAATTTGAAATGGTGAGAGGACATGGCATTTGCAAGTTGTCTAGAAGTTTTTACAACTATAACAAAAGGCATGTTGATCAAGGTATGTACAGCAAATGTACATAATATTTTAAACACATTTGCTATGGCATCCACTTCTGTGAATTAGAGCTCAACTGCAGATAACAATACCAATTTGTATACTAGTTATCTATTAAGCAAATGGTTCACTTAGCCAGTGTTGCCTGATCTTGAAAACTAAGCAAGATACATCTGGGTTAGAATTTGCATGGGAGAACTGCTCCAAAATCAGATTGGTGATTCTCTTCTTCTAGAAAGACATTCTGGAAACAGCAATGGCAAACTATTTCTGTAATGCTGCCAAGGACATGACTTCCTCAAAGCGTCATCTACTAGGAGCAACTTCCTCTAGCAAGGATACAACTGAAAAAGAGGCCGAACTAGAAGTCACTAAGGATGATGTTAGCTCCAATTTTGTGGATTCGTCCCCTTAAGGTGCGGTTTTCATCTTGTCTAAGAAGGAAAGAAATTTGATAAATTATTCTCCCTCCATAACCACAAAATCTGCATATGTAGCTTTGGGGGAAAAATTCTCAGTAAATAAATGAAGAAGTATAATATTTTTGACTCATTTGTTCAGTTGGGGTCTCTTCACCCACTTGTTTTAGGAATTGTGTGGATAATATATCCATTTTATATCATCTTTATGCAGTAATATTGAAAGTTCAATATAGTCTACAAACTTTTAAGCACCATTGTATGCTGAGCAGGCCTTCTACAAGGGAATTTTTGGGATGCAATACATGAACATTGAAAAGTCAGGTGCCTTCTGCCCTACCATACCCAGGATGACATTTGGGATGCATAGCTGTGTGATTTTGGCCCTGGTCTATCAACAGTTACCTGTATCTGTACAAGGTATTTCTCGCCTTACGGCCACAATTGAGCCCAAAAATTGCCGCTGGTAAGCAAGACAGTTGTTAAGTGAATTTGCCCCATTTTATGACCTTTCTTGCCACCGTTAAGTGCAGTGGTTAAGCTAGTAACAACTGCAGTTGTTAAGCTAGTAACACGGTTAAGTGAACCTGGCTTCCTCATTGATTTTGCTCGTCAGAAGGTCATAAAAGGTGATCATGTGACCCTGGACATAAATATGAACCAGTTTGCCAAGTATCTGAATTTTGATTACATAACCATGGGGATGCTGCAACGGTCCTAAATGTGAAAAACAATCTTAAGTCACTTTTTTCAGTATCGGACTATTGTTGTAACTTCAAGTAGTCACTTAATGCATGGTTGTAAGTCAAGGACTATCTCTATTTTCATCCCTATGTGACTGCCTGTAAATAGACATGTACATTCAAGGCGAAGCTCCTTCCTCAGAGTCCACCTCAGTCTCTAAATCAGGGGTAGGCAACCTTGGCTCTTTTATGACTCGTGGACTTCAACTCCCAGAATTCCTGAGCCAGCTTGGCTGGCTCAGGAATTCTGGGAGTTGAAGTCCACGAGTCATAAAAGAGCCAAGGTTGCCTACCCCTGCTCTAAATTAACATTGAAAGAGGAAGAGCAAAAAACACACTCAGCATGGAAGACAATCACTCCTTGCTGACACTGCAACGTTTAAATGGCAATTCCAACCAGATTCCATATTTTTTTTTGTCAGAAAATACTTTCTGGAACTTCACTCCAGAGCGCAGGAAGCTGACCCCTCTTGAACGTACTTTGAGTTAATGCCACTGAAATCACTACCACTTTTTTTTGAAGGAAAGTACAGATGGTCCTCAACTTATAACAGTTCACTTAGTGACCGTCCAACGTTACGACGACACTGAAAAAAGTGACTTACGACCGTTTTTCACACTTACGACCGTTGCAGCATCCCCATGGTCACGCGATCAAAATTCAGATGTTTGGTAACGGATTCGTATTTAGGACCGTTGCAGTGTCCCGGTGTCAGGTGACCCCCTTTTGTGACCTTCTGACAAGCAACGGGGGAAGCCCTAATTCACTTAACAACCCTGTTCCTAAATTAACAAACCGAAGCGGTTCCCTTAACCACGGTGACAAGCAAGGTCGTAAAACGGGGCAAAACCCACTTAACAAATGACTCACTTAGCAACAGAAATTTTGGGCTCCATTGTGGTCGTAAATCGAGGACCACCTGCATCGAGCGAGGTCCTTTGTCAAATATCATCCGATCGCCGCTTTCTAGCGGGCCGAGCCGCTTTCTCCTTCCCGCGATCGCCGCGTTACTCCCGGTGGTTTCTCCCCTAGAGGGCGCGTCGGGGCCGATTGCCGTCGGGGCCTGGCCGGCTTATAGCAACCATAAAAGGGCAGGAGGCGGATCGCTGCTTTCTTTCCTTGAGCCTCGGATTGGAAGGCGGCAGGGCGTATAAATTCCGGCGGGGCGGAGTGAAACAAAGCAGTTTGCCTTAGGATCCGGCGCGGAGAGGTGGGAGCCGAGCTGCTTCATTCAAAGGATCGACGAGCGAGCCTTCGTTTGGCAGCGATCCGGGAGATTCCTTTTGAGCTTTTGGATCGTTCCCTTCCTCCCCCGCCCCCTTTCCTCGAAACTGGTAACTTGCGTGGTTTTTTTTTTTTTTTTTTTTTTAATCAGAGAGAGAGCGAGGGGAAATCAAAAGATTACGGACATCTCAATGAAGGAAAGAAGAGCGAGCCAGAAATTATCCAGCAAATCGATCATGGACCCTAATCAGAATGTGAAGTGCAAAATAGTGGTGGTGGGAGATACGCAGTGTGGAAAGACGGCGTTGCTCCACGTCTTCGCCAAGGACTGCTTTCCCGAGGTAAGTTTCCACCCGCCGGCCTCGGGGAATCTCTCGGAAGTTTTTGAAGCTTCGTCCCGGCTGCAGGCGAGACGGATTTCCCGGGGAACAAGTCTCTCGTGGCCCTCGGTTAATGCGGGATGCCAAAGAAATGCGACCTGATCCGGATTAGAAATTTAGAAATTAGCTTGTCCCGGACCCGGGTTTGGGGCTGGTAATGAGGGGGGGGGGCAAGAGAGAGAGAGAGAGACTGTGATCATCAGGATCTCAGCTCTCCAAGCCTTTCCGCTGAGAGACTTCAGTGTAGCTCTGGATCCCGATTGTGCTATCAGGATTAAAGCCGCTTCCTCGCTCGTGATTGATAGTGTCACCTAGCCACCCCGCTGGTGACATAAAGCCTGTCGCCTTGGCTGATATATTAGCCCGGGACTGGTTCATTGCCTTATAAATCACTAGTGAGGAAATGGACTGGATGCCCTCAACTCCTAGTTGCTGTCCTTTATCCCTCCGCTGTTTAGAAACCATGCTTGGGTTCTTCTCAGTAAAGCTTTGGTGAACTTATGTATAGCAATTGAGTTAAATGTAATAGATCCTTGTCTCCATGATTTAGTAAATTTAACTTGTTTAAGTGGGGAGTGGGTGAAACCCTAAGAATCTGTTTAAAAGCATACTTGTGCATGCAGATAAACTCCAGCAGGACTTTGTCAAGCTGCACTATGCACCGATTGTAAAAAATATTTTTGTGAGGGATGGGGAAGGAAAGAACAATCATGGGGGTGGGGGGCATCCAGACCTCTGCCCCCTTGATTGAGTACTGCAAAGGAGACAAGATTCCTCATCTGGGAGCAGAATCCATTTTAATTTGTCCTTCTCCAAGCTTGGTGCCCACGAAACGTTTGGAAGAATGACTCCCATTTGTCCCATCTACCCTGACCTTTGACCAAGCGTGAACAACCGAGAGGCTAGGTTGACTTTCAAGATCTGAGAAGGATAAACTTGGTGGGAGGAGGTGAACGGAGCCTGATGCCGCAATGTACCTACGTTCCAAAGCAATAAAGGAAAGTGGTATAGAAATAAAGGGATGACCCATGGCTGAGCGGTCCCAGGGAAAGATTTGTGTTCCCGTCTGAGTCTTTGAATCTTCGAGAAGGAGGAACCAAAAAAAATGTTAAAAGTGATGTGATGTTAACTTTCAAGCGACCGTAACACTGTGCTTCTCTCTTTTGTCGCCTAGAATTATGTGCCCACGGTGTTTGAGAACTACACCGCCAGTTTTGAAATAGACACACAGAGGATAGAGCTCAGTCTCTGGGACACTTCGGGTAAGAGCCTGGTTGTGTAGCAGGAATTCTCCTTCTGTTTCCATGCCATTCCAATGACTCATAGCTGCCTTGCATCCATAATTATAAGGCTTCACTCAAACCTCTGTTAACACCCTGTTGATGAAGTAATTACTTGCCATCTAGAAGGCTGCCTTTTTCAGAGGGCTATGTGTGTGTCTTGTGTGTCTGTGTCAGATTTTTGACAGAAAGTATTGTGTCCCCTCCTCCGTCCTTTCTTTGTTTTAACTGTAACACTTTCTGCAGTGTGGTTAATGCTTCCATCATGTTTACCTGATTTCCCCCCTTCCCTCTTATTTTTAATTCTCTCAAGGGTCTTAGGGTAATTAGCTGAACAGATGGGAGAAGGTTATACTGGCCTATTGTGAGCCATTCTTTTTAATATTTGCCTCCACTGCTGGGGGAAGCCGGCATGTGTTCTCCTTCTGGTAATATGTGATTATACAGCCGCAAGAAAATGAGTAAATACACATATGCCAGCGTAGATTGGGGGTGTGTACGTGTGGGTTTTTTTCCCCTGCCATTTCGGCACGCATTTCCCACATATTTTCTCCCCCCCAAATATTCTCCACCGCAAAATGTGTAGGAAGTCCTCCACTTAGTGGATAGGAGGTGATTTTTAGCTTGGGGGTGTAATCCTTGGAGGATTTGACAATACATCCAGCAGGGGGTGGAAAAGCTTTTGAAATGGAATTTGACAAAAAGCTGAAAGAAGTTTAAAAGCAAACTTGAGTTTTATGCCTGAGCATAGTTCAAAGTACAGTTAGGTAATTCTAGAAAAGGGGTTGTGACAAGGTAGGTAATTGAGGAATGGGTTGCAGAATTTCAGCAGCTGAATAAACTTTATACCTTCGAGTTGTTCAACCAGCAGCAAGAAAAGGGCTCTTTGTGCTGTAAAATTTGTCTTGGGATCTCTAGTAATTGGGATGTAGACTTGAAATTGTCATATTCAGGTCACCTCTGTATGTAAGGTTAACTGAGGAAAATAAATGGCAGGAGTTCCTCTCATCTGAGCCATTACTGTTGTGTATGTGATATAATTCGGTCACTTTTAGTTGCTGCTTAAAGTAGCCTTGTTTACTAAATCTAGGAACCGTTGTTTTGTAGCAAGACAAATCAACATAGCTTGAATTGACTAGCAATCATCCTGTGGCTTTCAAACAAGAATCATTCCCACACCTACATGGGGATATCAGAGCCTGAACCATGGGCCTCCTGAGTGATGGTCCTTCTCTTCCCCTGCCCTCCATCTTGCTAAATTACAACACTGGAAACCATTGCTGTTCTCCCCCCACCCCCCACCCCGCCTGCTGTGCACCAGATTGTCTCGCAATCTTCCAGATGAATTTTCTGCCCCATAAATCATCCTCTTGAGTCTTTTTTACCTTTCCCCTAGGCCAGTGATTTAGTGCTAGGTTTATAGATACTGTAATCTCAGCCCATGTTCTACTCTAAGGCAATAACATTGAGATGATGGGGGAAATTAAAGGGAAAATGTAACCTGGATCATTTCTGAGAGACTGAGACAATAGTTGTATAAAGAGAATAATCTGTGTTTTCTGGTGGCGATAGATAGATAGATAGATAGATAGATAGATAGATAGATAGATAGATAGATAGATAGATAGATAGATAGATAGATAGATAGATAGATAGATAGATAGATAGATAGATAGATAGATCCTTGCACAGTTCATTTTTTACAGATTTGGTATATACTGTATATATATTTATATTTATAACTTCTTTCAGACTTTCAGGCCAAATGTGTAAAGGGCTTTGCAATGAACTGTGCTAGGGGATGCTAGAAGCAATGTACACAGATACACTGATGCCCCTCAGGACTTTCATAAGGCCGAATTCTTTCTTTAAAAAGTGGCTGGATTTTGTCTTCTCAAGAACCACTAGAGTCCTAGAGTCTGTCGTGGCCTAATAAAACCAGTTCCGTTTAGCAATGAAATACATTCATTCAAGCACAGCATTCCAGAAAGAGCAAAACCAGGAAATGCTGGACTCTTTCAGTATTTTATTTATTAAATTTATATACAGGTAACATATTAGCAGGGTATCTTAGAGGGCTAAGGGCATAAGGAATTTTACTTCTCTCTCACCCTTTCTTCTGACTGATTTTATATATAAATCCAACAATGGAGATGAGAGCTATAAAATTCTTAACGCAGAACAAATGCAATCTTCCTGGTTCACTGTCATTTATGATGATTAAAAAAAAACACGTGCTACTGAAGAAGACAGGCAAAGAAGGGTACAGGATGATCAGAACAAATGGCAAGACAATCTGAACTCACTTGCCTGTATTGCCTTAAACCTGGGGTGTCTAAGACCACCCAGTGGGTTAGCATTCTTCCAAGGCAAAGAAACCCAAAGAGTTGTTGAAGAGGATGTCTGTTTTACAGCCTAACACAAAGTACAAAGCTCTTGCTGGTTTTAAAAAACACTTCTAAGTATGAGAGCAAACGTTGGTCTGCCGATTGCAGGAAACAGCCTTATGAAATCACATTGTGGCACAAAGAATTGTCTGATGGGGAAAGGATGTTAATAAAAGTCCCAAATGGCAAGTCTGCTTGTCTTGTACATTGGGCAACATTTCTGCAGCTCTTTTGAAGACACCACAATTAAGTTCTTTCTGCTTTAGCAATCTTCCCCATATATTACTACTGTTGGCATCATTGGAATGCAAGCTTCCAGATGTGGATGACAGCTGGGAGGCCCACAGCTCTGATTTTCTTTCTCTTTCCTCCTCCTCCCCCTACAGAGGAATGTGTGCTGCTTTTCTTGCTCCACTGTGATGGAACAAAATTAAAATCGCTACCCCATAGCAGGAGAATGAGCATAAAATGGAAAAGTGCAGAGAAGGAAAATTAACATAAAAATCTCAGAACTTATGCTTGTATTCAAAGCTGGAGGTCTCCTAAAGTATGGTGCGTGTTTAAGGTAGTCTGTAGAAACATTTTGTTTTTAAACTTAATGAGTAAGAATTAAATTTCATTAAACCCAATGGGCCTTATTCTAAATCTAAGCCAACCACTTTAGATTAGGATCTTACTGACATATGTTAGTTATTAGAGTTATAGTTATAGGCCTGATGCTCTATTAGCTGGAGGTGAAGAGAATTAACAATTAAAAAAAATATCTGGCATTTACTGGGCTAATTTTCCCAGCATTTTTATGTTGCTAAAGAAAATAGAACAATTTCTTCCTGGCATGAATCAAAGATAGCCTTCCATTTCCAACAGGATATGATGAAACAGACTTCAAAAACTTTCAGGAGATTGCCTTGATTCTTAATTATTATGTTTCTGTATGTTGATTTCTTTTGCTCATCTGTGTCCCATGATCTCTTCTACACTGCCCTCTGATATTTTTTAGGTGCTCAGTAAACTGGCTATAAACAAAAAGTAATCCTCATTTGTATTACTCACACTTGTGGATTACTGGGAAGAGAAACCTTAGTCTGATATTACCCTTCTCATCTTTGTTAAAGATTAACATATATTTTGCAAGCCTACTGTAGAGAAAGGACTTTTCTGTTTGCTAGACTTATTCTCATCTAGAGATTATAGGATTGCAGCATGTCTCTGAATCAAAATCTAGGCCTAGTGTGAACTGCATAAACTTTGCATTAAAGTCTGACTGCTCGAGTAGGACAAATATCAGAGTAGTAATAAATACTAGCAGTGGTCTAAAATAGTCAACCTATGATCTTCATAGTGGGAATCCAACTTTCATTGTCATCTTTATCATTGGCTGTGCTAGCTAGGAAACTGGCATTCAGCACCCACAGGGCTGCATTGTCAACCCTGTTAACCACATAGGGCAGGAGTGTCAAACTGCCAGCCCACAGCCGGACGCGTCACCAGGAAACCGTGCCCACCCCATTGCCGGCAATGGGGAAAAAGCTCCAAAACGTTGCGCAACGTCGTGACGTTGCGAGTTTGACATGTCTGACTTAGGGGAAATACTTCCTTGACTATGGATGATAATTGGGGCAAAAGGATGGCAAAACAGAATAAAAAGAACAAAAGGATATTTTCCCATTGGGAAATCCCAAAGTTGGTATAAGTTTACGTATGGAAAAAAATGTGATGTTCCATTATGTACTTTATTTAGAGTATACAACTAAATAAATTGCTAAAACAGTGAATTTTTATAGCTTCTTGTCTACCAGAGCTAGTCTATTGTATAATTGAACACAGTTCAAGAAAATGATGCCTCACTTTTAATGATACCACTTGGGTAGTGCTCATTCTTCAAATGTTGGTTGAGGCTCCCAAAATATTTCAACATGACTCTTAGTCTCTTGTGTTCTCATTAAACAAACGGGTCTACTTTCACTGTACATTTGGGATGAACATTCCTGAATGAGTAGTGTCCTCAGTTAACAGCAGTTAATTGCTGTTTGACCAAGTCTATCCATTTGGGGTTAAATTGTGTGCAAAGGTTTAGAAATCAACAAGGACAATAAATATCTGAATGTTTTATGCTTTAATCTATCCTTAGTCCTGCTGAGATTGCAAACACTCAAATGGCAACCAATAGAGTTATTTTAGAGCCATTTTCATAAAAGCCAAGAACTCATTTTTAAAATGTGAGAGAGTAAAGTCCAGCCTTCACAGTGTTTTTGTGTCATAAATCTAGTAAACAGATTTACTAGATCAGGCAGCAATGGCATTCTGACATGCTTAAAGCATGTATATTATGGGCAGACAGTCTAGCAACTCTCTCTTCCATCAAGGTGGAATCCAGCTTCTGATTATGTACTCCTGACTCAGACTGACCTCTTATGACAGGGGCGGGCAATCTTTTAGAGACCAAGTGTGATATATATGACAATTGTGGAGTGACCAAAAAATAGCACCTTATTCATGTGAGTGACCTTGATTTTTTGATGGGAATGCTATTAAACCATCTTCTGCCTCTTTTATATCTAAAGTTCTCATTTCCCAACTCAAAATTGTGCAGGA